TCCATTTTGATACTTTCCTACGTTAATTAACCTAACAAAACAAAATTCCGAATTCTTATTTTTCCCGTTTATTACATTATCATTATTTTCACGGTATTTTCATACACTCAGCTTTACCTATTCGTGAGCTTGGATTATGAGCTTATTCTATCAGAGAATGATAATCATATAAATTTTTAATTAGTCTTTTATTTAACAAGCTTGAGTATTAAACTTCTAACATAACTTTTGTATATTTTATAGGAAGCAGAAAAACAACGTTATCAAAAAACACACTGCGTATTTTTCGTAAAATCAGTTAAAATCAAAATCGTCTTCCAATAATTCGAAGTAATACAATAGTGAATATTAGATAACGAAATCTTCAACCGTCAACGATAAATAAATAATCAAACCCAATAAATATCAACTTCACATTTTGCGTTTATACTTGATTTCAAAGAAGCGTTGGTCAAATTGCAAAATTCTGGTTCGAAATAATCCCAATCCAAAGAAGTGTTTGGTGTACTGTAATTAGAACACGTAGTACTAGAGCAAGATCTGCTACCGTTAAAGTTGGTACTAGCCCAAGAATTCTTTCTAGTAGAAGTGAAAATATCACCAGCAAATGTGACAAACTTTGTTGGCGTCTGTTGGATTGCTGTTTCTTCACAATTTGGCGCAAATAAAATGTCGTATAGTTGACTAGAAGTAGGCGATGAATTTCTTTCCGCAGACAATCCATCTTTATGCGTCGATAAAGGAAAACTTTGTGGATTATCGTTGAGTTCTAGATTTTCCATATCATTTGAGTGGCTATTATCTGGTACGTAAGCGAAATTCTCTGTCCCATATTCATTTGATATAACTTGTGGTAGAGACTGCAAATTCTCTCGAAGATCCGGAGTTTGGTTACTAGAAGAATATTTGTCGTTTCTCATTTGTATAATTAAAAATATAATAATAGCGAGGAAAATCACAGTAACTAATGGTACTATTACTATCACAACGATGCAGCACGTCATATTTGAAAATTTTGTATCTTGTAGATTATCAAGAAAATGATAAACAACAACGTGAGATGAATTTTCTATCATATTTATGCGATAGTAATATTGAAAAATGAAACTGATTTGAGTATCTATAAGAACAATGACAGCCACATTGCATATTTCATAATTTTGCCTCTTCACTGTAGTTTTCCAATAACACCATGATTTCTTGTGGTCCAAATGCACTGCACATAAGAATTTTCAAACAAATACATTTGTAAATAACTAACTATAAAACACCTCAAAGATATAATGCTGAGCATTTTTGAAAAGCTCGTATTTACATTTATTGAAATTATCCAAGATTTGTTAATAATACTCGAAAAGATCAGTAACATTAATGCAGCAAGCTTTTAATTTATATATAAACAAGAAGCATTACTTAATTATAAAAATCCCAATTAAACTAACTGTTTAAAGTGGGTAATAAACAACATTTGACTACTGTTTGATGGCGAAAACGTTCTACGCTGATAATCGTAGAACACGTTGCCAGCGTTTTCTTTTTATTATTTAAGATGCATCTTTTTCCAAGGAACACAGTGCGGCGCATCATCAATGTTTGTAAAAATCAGAGTTAAGTGAAAAATATCGAGAAAAGGCTCCTTTCTTAATAAAAACGAAAATTTGAATGAGACTGATAATCGAATAGCATACAAAATAGAGAATTTTAAACTAACTTCTTTACGTAACGTTACACAGAGAGAACGTAAAATTTAATTACAGAGTATTTTTATATTTAATACAATGTAACAGAAATACAGAAACACTTTTAGAGTAGTACGCTGAAAAATCTTAGTCACAATAGATGAAAATATTTCATGGCTCACCCTGAGTACTTTTACACTAAGCGTCATATTTTTTTTCAAGGGAATGGGAATTATTCTTTTGTCTTCTTTCACGTCTGAAATGCAGCCTCGTTAGTCTTAAAGTTAAATAATAATTATAGTATCAGATATTTTAACCAACAACCCATATTGTAAATTTAAGTAATGATGTTTCGAAATTTAAAATTTGCCCTTGAATCTCGAAGCAGGTGACTGAAATGCTCATGTTAATAAAATATCGGGAACTTAATGCAGGTTTTCATGTGGAACTCTCCGTGTGGAAACATTGTCATGTAATTGATGCAGAAACTCTGGCACCAAAGAAACATCTGTTTTGATGTTTTCCGCGATTATGTGTCTTCCATCTTCTTGGCTGACTATGAGCAATTAGGCATTAAAAGCAAACTTTTAGGTGTCCAAGATAAACAATGCTCATAAGAATAAATTTTTTGAAATCGTAGAGCCACAAATAATCACTTTTTACGAAAATCTTCGATTTACGAGGCATTGTTCAAAATATTTTCCAGTGCAATAAAGCTCTAAATTAATCGCACCTGTATGTATTTAATTCATTCATATATATGTATATAATATATATATATATACACCATGTATGTATATATATATATGTATATGTATATCATGTATATAGGCATAATAGTCGGACATCGGACATCGCTGGTGGTTCTTGAGGCATCAACCGCTATAAGTTTTTGACCTCTAGGTTGGCGTTGTGCTCTCAGGTCTTTGGCTATAAATGGAAGAATAAGCGCTTTTGCGCGACTTAGATTAGTATCTAAGTGAAACAAACATGAAAATGTTTTTGCTTTATAGGAAATGCATAATAAAGTTGAAACTTAATAAACATAAATGAAGTAAATTATATATCAAGAAATTGTATTCTTTCGATGAGGACTTGAAATGTTTTTGCCAAGATTAATAATAAAATAATAGAATAATGAAAATGCGTTGAGAGTAATAATATGGGTTGAAGTAAGGTAAGACAAAGTCCTATTCCCGCTTGTAATGTAGTTTCTGGATGTAAACTACATATGAACTGTTAAATTCTGTTTTTAGCTGCACGCTATGAAATTATAGTGACAAAATGAAATAGATCGCGTTTGAAATCAAGATGTTTAAGGCGCTACCTGGCGCTAAACATAAATGTCGGCGCGAAATTTAACTAGATGGCAGCAAAACTAGCGATATGTAAAGCTTCATGGCAAAACAAAACCCTCTAATAACACTAATATCTCGTGTAGTGTAATATATATAATGCTTAACGTGCGCAACGCTAAAGCTGTGCACAATACCGAATTTTTGCAATTCTTTGATTTCTTTAAGCGAAAAAATTATGTTGTGTACGCATACAGCTTTATTTTCGCTTGAAAAATATCGGAGAATTACACAAATTCGCGTACAGCATTGACATTCCGCTTATTAAACATTGCACAGTTATTCATGATGTGCTATAAACAGGCTTCCACATCTGGCGCACATTCAGCGACAGAATCACTTTTAGCAGAAAAGTACAGAAATAAATTATAATTTATTTATCTCAAGCTGAGTGTTGTTTGGCAACAAGCTGTGTTTGTAAAAATATAATAATTAAGATTTAAATTTATTTTTATTATGTTTTATATGGAAAATGGCTCTTTACCCATTGAAATGAATTGTTTGGTGTTATAGTTGCTTTTAGTGAAATGATACTCCAGACTTTGATTTGTATATTCCTTTTTAATTTTACATATGGGTATGTATGTAACACTTATAGATAATTATCTAAACTGAGTATTTTTTTTAAAAATTGTTTGAAGATTAAACAAAAATAAAACCTTAGATTTGCTAAGATTTAAATAAATCTTCATCGATTTTGAAGGCAATCAAGTATAAGTCTTTCTTCTTCAGGAGAAAAAGATACTATTGGCAATTCTGAAGGCTGATGCAAAGGAACGTTCTACAAATTACATCTGTATAAGTACATCATAACACTATATAACTATTAACTGAAAAATTCTGTCGAATAGTTCTATTTTGTAGTGTGATTTTAATTAGAAAATTATTTAATTGTGATACATTTAATTTATAAGTGTCAAAACTCGATTATCCGAGTTCCAAATCGATAAAAATCTGTAAGTATATATGTAAGCTATAAAAATATGATGGAAATTTATTAACTAATTAAACTTAATTGGAACATATTGAGAATAGATTTCTAAATTTAAAATTTTCAATTAAAGCCCAACCCGCTTCAAGGCATCTGAATTTCCCCTGCAGTATCTGTAGTGCTGTAGAGTTTTGCTCAATCGCTACTCAGGATTAAAACAAAGACTTTCTGAGCTTATAAATACCACTACAGTGGCTGCGCATTACTCTTTTAATGCCTGCGAAGAAAGTCACGTCTCTTCGATAATATTCTTTTTCCATTATCTAAAATGCAAACTTCGTATATAGAAACTGTGAGACGCGTTTAGCACGCCTAATGTTTTACAAATTTAAGTAAAAATGTATTTCTGAACAACTGTTCCTGTTCAAAATAAAAATAATGTTTTAACATCAAGCAAGTTGCAATTTTTCCTCCAGTCATTATTTACTCAGCATTTTTCTCGGTCATGACTAAAAAAATGATTAGTTCGATCTTCTCTAACCAACTTTCTACTAAGTTCTATCGACGTACCAACGAAATTATTACATATGTATTATTACTATTTTTGATAGATAAAAAATTGTATTAGCTATATAATATAATATTGATCACGATCCTCAAAAAAGAAACAAGCAAGGGGAGAAAACTATGTATCATATGCATTTATGAGAAGATATTTATTATTATTTAAAAAGCGTCAGTTTTTTTTTCAATGATTCATACTTTTCTGATTACAAAGATTGCACTAGTATTCTGGTAAGATCTGTCTGTAAGTTTTATTTTTAGTTTATTTATTTGCCTAATTTCTCCTTTTATAATAGTCATCGTAATGTATACTCGGTTATTTTTTATTGGATTTGATTTAAAGAGGAGTATAATAAACTTTCCAAACTCTAATACATACTAAAATATTTTATTTATATGTACGGTATTTCATTTATTTAAAAACTTTCCACACAGAAAAAATTCTCATTTTTAAAAAAAATTTATTTCTAGTGACCACTCCTGCACTGATAGGAATATGCCTTGGCAGCGCCGTATTCCTGGTTACAATCGCGGCGGTCACTTGCTTTTGCTACCGGCGAAGATCATCAACAGGATCTTCACAGAAGCTCACATCAGTGCTAAAAAAGAGTCATCATTCCGACAAGCCTCTTGTCCTTCGAAAACCTACTGCGGTGAAGAGTCCCAGCAGCGGATCGGTTGGTGGGCCTGTCCTCATGAAGAAGAGTCCTAGCCCTACACTGCAGAAAATTTCTCCTCCAGGTGGAAGCACGAGAACCTCCCCTACGAATGCTAACAGTGGACATCGATCCCCGACAAGTTTAGATAAAGCAAGGATTGGTTCTAATCACTCATCGAGGCAGAATTCACCCAACATTGAGGATAAAAACTACATTGAAAGAGAGAACGAGAAGTTGAAAAATAACAAGAAAGAGGAAGTAGTGGATGATAATAAAGAGAAGGAAGTGTTAGTTGAAAAGCCATGCAAACTGGGACAATTACATTTTAGGTAAGTTTCTTCCTTTGTAAATTCGTATTCTGCACCTGACAGTATAAATCAGTTAGTTTTAATATGATTTTTTATAATACTTGATTCCATCAATAATAAATTAATTAGTTGTGATTATTAATTAGCTAATAATTAATAATAAACAATTATTATTCGTTAATTACATAAGAATTCTTGTTGAAATTGAATTTTCTGGTATCGCGAAATAGTAACGGAATTAACTAAAAATCCTACTTTTTTCTTAATGATATATAGTAGAAAGTGAACTCCTTAAATAACTAGTAAAAAGTTGTGCGTAAAATGCAGGAATATTTGATACTACTGCTAGTTGAAAAGTCTGAAAATAGTAGGGCCTGCAATGCAGTCAATAGAGGTACAGTAACGGAGATCTCTTAATTGGTACGAAACAGTTATCCAAATTTTATTTTACAATTATTTAACTCTTTTTAATTTTGAAGCTTTAGAAATTTTAGAACTCTTAATTACGATTCAACTAAATATTAGTAAATGTTTCTCAAATTATTGGAAGATCCCTGATAATTAGTCACAAAATTTCTTGTTACTGCCTCATCCTGTCTTCTTCCCGAGCGGTTACTATCTCCCGAACGATGTGATGCTGAATGAATATTTCAATGTCAGTTGAAACTTGTCATTTGTTTGTTATCAGTGATTCTGTGCTACGTGGCAGTTACTATTATATATACTGCTTTACATATATTTCATTTACCGAACTGTTATAAAGCATTTCTGCACCATTTTCTCTCATGTCGAGAAATGGAAATGATATTTTGAAAAAAAAGGTACTTAAAAGAAAACTGCCGCAGGCACTAATATACGCCTTATCCTCAAAAGTGATTATCCAGGTTATGTTTTCGCAAACGTTGGTGATGTGTATTCGTTGATTTCGCAAACTTTAGAAATGTTGGTTAACAAACGTCGCAAACATACACTTCCCATGACAAAAATGAACATTTATGAATAAATGAAATGAAAAAAGAAAAAAAATTTATGTATTTTTCATTTTTTAATTTAAAAATTCAATCTTGTTAAAATAACAGAAATCTAGCATTTTTTACGGTCATTTGGTTCTTATAGTTTCTTATAGTTATATTTAATAATGCGAGGTTCATACTCGTTATAAAAGTTAGAAACACAAAAATTTAACTCAGTATGACAAACATTAACCAAGACATTTAATTTCAAAATTTGGGACTTTTTGATCATTTTCGTCTTTCCTTTTCTGATCGATTAAAATATAAATTAAAATAATTCAACGTTAAATGTTTCCCATTTAATATCATGTAGTGGTAATCCTTTGTGATTTACTATTGTGTAATATAGTTTAATTTGTAATTCTGCTGCATATGGTATTGCGGACGAATTTTTACGAAAGTTATCTTGAGTTTTCAAACTAAAGCGCTAAAAATTTGTTTTTAATATTCTCATACAGTTTTATTACTTTAGAATTATAATTTAATAATGATACAAAAATTAATTAAACTAGAAATCTTTTTAAAATTTTTAATTTATGCAAATAATGTTACGAGTTGGCTATGTGAAAATGCTGAAACTGCTCCTGTTTTCTAGAATACGCATTTTATAAAATTCTGTGAATAAGATCTCCTTTTTAAAAATAATTATACTGATATATCCTTTCCGCAACAATCTGTAAAGAATTTTGCTAATCATTTAAACTATTATCACTAGAAAACTTTTTCTAAACCGGCACTTTATTTTCAGCTATGTACAAATCCAAATATTTAGCTCCTCAATTTGTGAGCGATTCCTGAATATGATCTGAAAATTTAAAATTAAATATCTCGGTCAAATTTTGTCCCACAGGAAGGAAACATATTGTGTCTTATTTTTCATAATGAGTACAAACTTAACATAATTATAGGAACCGAAAGACCGTATAAAAAGCTACATTTCTTAATTATGATATATTGTTTTTAATTTAAAAATTTCAAAACATGAATATTTTTGTCATTTAAAACATTTTTGTAATTAAAAGTACGTGTCTACGATCAACGAATGCGAGGAAAAGAAAAGGCAGCTTAAAGACTTTTATGAATAGTGTATATACTTATCCTAGTGTTATGACAATCAATGATAAAGTATGAGTGCTAGTTTAAAGCTCATAACACTGTTGAGCTGCTAAAAATAATCAATGAAATTAAATTATTGATTATTTAATTAGAAATTGTTTTCGGATTTTTCGATTTTGTTAAAATTTTATAAAGACAAATTTGTGTATTAATTCTCAGTCATTAGTTTCTGAAATTCCATTTTTTATTCTTTTAGAATAAAAATAAATAAATCTAATATGTCTTTTAATGACAAATAATCTTAATAATATCTCAATAGCGATACTTATTCGTTTCGTTTTATCCTGACTTTCACAGTAAAACTTTACTCTTTGAATATGAATGAGTAAATAACTATTTCATTTCAGTACTCACGTTTTGTGTTATCTTGAGGTTTGATATGAGGAAATGTGTATTATTTATCTTGAAATAAATGAAGCGAAGTATTTTATAATTTATCCGCAACATATTTTTATCTACAGATTATCATAAATTATATACTATATTGACATGACAATTAACTTCATAAATTAAAATAAAATCTATTGTGCCATTTACTATAGTATTCTTAGAGAACTCATATAGTATATTTACGTTTTCAGTGACATTAAATATGTTTAATTGATTGTCTAAAACGAAAAGTATAAATTCGCTTTTAAGCCAGCTTGCATAAAATCTTACTCCCTGATTTTGGATTACTGTTCATTTAAGAAAATGTAATTTAGGTTCAAAATATCTTCTTACTCATAAAGACAATGTATTGCCGTACTGTAGGTATAAATTAATAAGACACAGAAGCAGTTTTTTTCCTTTATAGCTGTATGATGTGTATACGCTCGTGATTTTTTAAATTTTTTTTATCTTAGGTTGAAATATAATGCTGAGAAACTCTCACTTCAAGTAACTATTGTGAGATGCAGTGATTTACCAGCGAAAGATTCTAATAATGGTTCTTCTGATCCTTATGTCAAACTGCAATTGCTACCTGAAAAGCAGCACAAGGTCAAGACCAGAGTTCTGCGGAAGACTCTGGACCCTGTCTACGATGAGGACTTCACTTTCTACGGCATCAACCCGAATCAGCTTCAGGCAACTACACTTCATTTTGTAGTACTCAGCTTCGACAGATACTCTAGGGATGATGTAATAGGGGAAGTGATTTGTCCTCTCTCAGGAGTAGATTTCGAGGGATTAGCAAAACAATTGGAAATGGCGAGAGAAATAACACCGAGGAATTTGAAGGTAACCATACTTTTTTAAACGTGTTTGATATGACAGATATTTCTCTAGCAGTTACTAAATGCTTGAAATCAAAACGGTAGGCCTTTTAAATCGATAAAATGAAAAATAAAAATTTTGTCAACTTGTTAGGATAAAAGAAAAATTTTGCATTTAGATCTATTTAAAATCGCAAACTCATAAATTAATTCTTTACAACACTCAACTGTTTCTAAATTTCCACCCAAAGTGTGATTAAGTGAGTACATTATCCGTTTTTTTTCTTTCTTTTATTTAAGAATGCCAAATCGAGAATGTTTTATAATTGTATCTAACAATAATAATTTTACAAATTTTAACACTTTTTAATCACGATATTTTAATTTTATTCTAGATACTGACAAATGCAACAAAATTTATCATGAAAACTGTAACATACTGTTCCTTACTTGAAAATTATCATAAAAAAGATAAATAAATGCATATATCACCTATGCAGCATATATCGCACATACTTCGGAAGATCTTTTTATAAATGTTAAGTGTAGAATATAAATTAAACAAAAAATATCCTTAATTTAATACGATTGCAACACTAGTAAGTAAGATTCAAATTCAGAATTAGGTTAGAGTTATCAGAGTTATTTACATTGCTTTTACATTTTTTATCGTCATTTTGTAACTTAAAAGTGAGATGTCTAGTTTAAGCGAGGAAGGAATTAATGGTTTGTTTTATGAAAAATTCAAATTGTTATTAATAAGTCATGCTTTATCTTTATAAGATGCTATTAATTAGTTACAAATTATAACTTTAGGAATTCATTACATGCCTTTCCCAGGGTTTAGAGTCAACTTCACATTAATTTTCTTCATATAATTTTTTCCTCTTCCCTATAAGCTCTCATCTTCATTGCCTTTAGTAGCATTTTAAACTGTAATTTTAAGAAAATATTATTTATAGCCAACCAAATCCCGTAAGCTGAATACCCACAAGTATCCGTCTTGAATTTCGAAATAGTGCAGACTGTGTCATTCCAAATCATACGCTATATTATAGATTTCCAATATTGTCTTTGAACTGTCTGGCATATTCAAAAGCTATAATGTCACTATATTAGGCATAACTGTCATCCTGTCGTCATCTTTGAAAGGCTCACTGAAATTTCATGCAAGCAATGATGACTTCGTTAGCATTACAAAAGTTAACCCAATCCAAACTGTGCTTCCCTAAACAAACCATAGCAGCATCGTCTAACATCTTTCCCTAGACACCAGTATGGATAGCTTTAAATCATCTTTTAGTATGATTTTTAATTGAAAATTACGTAGAATGTTGCCTTTGTTCTGTCATTATTACCGACGTATAAAAAACACTTGATATTCCAAACATGAAATAGAATCAAGTAGATGCCAAAAGTTATGCTAATTTGATTGATATGGTAATGTTAGGAACATCTTGTTTTTTGCAATTACATTTATAAGGTAGTAGCACTGTAGGAAATCTTGTTAATGACTTTTTTTTCTCACATAACAACAAGCTAGTGAAGAAGACGTATAGTACATGAAGGAAAAAACATAGTTATATGCAACACATACCTCCTTTAAAACTGTTGATTATGAATGAATTTCACTTTGTACCACCAACCAAAGCTACTATAGACAAGTTTCTTAAAATAGTGGTGATCGACTAAACTGAAAAGTATTTGCCAGTGTTTACAGCCGCTAGAAGATCAATTCCAGCATTTCCTAAAAAGAGACTGTCTTATGCGTGCCACAAAGCAATATATTTTTTATGTTCGTGTTACACATACTACACATAAGGTACATTGCGCTAAAAAAGGAACATTTCTGTATCTCCCGTTCTCTTGGGTCGATTGATGAAATTAGAACAATGTTATATATAAATTTAATTCATAACCTTAGTCACGCTTTCGAGACATGAAAAACGCAATTTGAATTTCGTCAATCGGCCCAGTAGAACGGGAGATATAGAACCGTCCCCCCTTTTTTTTTCCCAGTGTACATCCATGTTATACATACTACTTCTCATATATTGGCTTTTGTTCAATATTATCAGTTTGTGATAATATTAATTAGAAATGCCTATTCTAATTAATATTCTCCCTCAATCTAGTTACCTATCTGTGAAAATTTATAATTTTAGTATTAAAATTGCTTGCTTCTTTGGGCAAAATAATATCTTCACACAGATAATCTCATCTTCCATGAACTGTAATGTCTAATTTCTATTCACTTTGAATTGTATGGGACGTTCTCCTACTTGGCTGTTAACGTCCTCCTACAGGCTTGTGTCATAACAAGAAACATAAGATGTGGAAAACCAGCATAGGTTTACGAAACTCCTTGAAATTCTGTAATAGCTTAAATTTAAATTCTGGGAATTTCTCTCTTTTGAAAATCGAAGATAATCTCCTCGATGTAATCGAAAAGCTGATTTATTTTGGGTGAAGGGGGATTAAAAAAGAAGAATGACTGATTTGTGAATACGTATCCAGCTTGTCTTTTGCCATACTTTTCTGCATACAAATGCTGGCTTTTCGGCAGTTTTTATAGCAGAAAGTCATTAGTTTTTGCCAAAGTGCTTAAAACCACCAATTGTAACCGTTAACAACTGACACACCGAAAACTATTTTCTGCCATAAAACTGTCAGTAATTGGCCAGAACTCATGAACTGAATGGAAGAACAATAGAACTACTAAGTAGTGGAGGGAGATGCTCTGGACAACATTAATAGGTTTTAATATTTGCAACCAAGTGTTTTGCTTCTTAAATAATGATGGTATTATTTATCACTTCAAACGCTCTTTTGTTATCTATATAATATTCGTTATTTTCAAGTATGTATAAGTACAAGTAATGTGCATAATTTCTTACAAAATGATTATCAAGAACCTATCAAATTCTTTCGTCTCATACTGCTCGATGCGTGTGGTTTCACAGCACTTAGATATTTTCATGTATAACTTTTTAATGATGATTTTTGAAATACATGTAAGGTTTTTATGTTAATTAACAAGTTATTATGATTTTGAACTTTTTGATAACTTCTTCTTTTCGTATTCCTTACCAGAATGCAAAGTTAGCTTTGACTATATTTAGCATGAGAGTTTTGAATGGAGAGCTGAGAGAAGGAGAGAGTTTCTGGCTATCGCCTCTGCTGTTAGTTTTCGCCAGTTCTATTTAAAAGTGATATTCCCTCTCTGGCATTCTCGCTAGCCGATGCTTTTAACTTTCGCACCAGTAAAACAATTGAGCCAGCTTATTTCTAATTCTATTGAATATGTGTCTTAGATTACGTTACCCGAGTTTGAATTTAATTGTTTGTTATTGCTTAATTTAAACAGCTAAGTGGTGGTTTGTCTGTATCACAAGCTGCGCTCTTGATGTTTAATTTTAAACTAAGATAAAGGTTATTTTGAAACTTCGCCTGCATTTGTGAGTTGCTGAAACGTAGCGATAACTCGCTATTAGTTCAGTAGGGTCTGCGGTACTTAGTCCAGTAGGGTGTGAAGGACTACTGGACTCTTAGTCCAATAGTAACTTTAGTTTTCAGATACAATAGCAAGCCTATAATTTCTTAACACAATACCTACAATTTTTGCAATAGTCCACATATTTTATAACAAAAAGTCCGAAAAGATATATGCTCAAGAAGATTTAAGTACAGAACATAGTAAATTTTAAGAATGAAGAGACTGTCTTCAACTTCTTTCTCGTTATTTCCAGTTTATGCTTAATACTTTTTACAAGAGAGTTCCCTTTATATTTGCACTCCTTTTCCATTTCTGTTATTATTGTGTTGGTTTTATGTACACAAAAAGTTGCAACTTTTTTGTCATAATCAATATTGGTGAAGTTAAAGAAAATAAATGCTGTATCGGAATGAATAACAACAATGACTAGAAAGTCATTGTAGATATTGCAGAGGTATTTTTAAAAATAATTTTCTAAACCACGAAAGTTGTGCCCTTGTTGAGACCCGACCACGGATCTTCTAACTGCTAACTGAACATGCTCACCAATCACTCCAACAGCACGGACGGGGGGAATGTGATAATTCCTTACAACATTATTCCAACTATCTTAAATCACTGTAACCATTTCACCACTAATTTTAATAGGTAAAATTTTGTGAAGATAGCACTTATCTTTTAATTCTGTGGGTGTGCCCAAAGTGGGGCACACTGATTGAATAAAGCTTCGAAAAGAGTCCTGAAACGAGTATTGTTGTCAATGATCTGACCAATGAGATGCGGAGAAAGAAACAAGATACAGATCTCCGTTGCCTAGATTATCGGTGAGTCCCGGGTCTCTGGGCACACCTGATGTTCACCGTTCGATTTTAGGCAAGATCTCAAGGTAGAAATTTTAAACTAATATAGGATAAGGAGATTAGCATACAGCCAAGAAAATAACAGAGAAATTTCTTTTCAAACAATTCCTTTTATATCTTAAAAAAAAAAACCTAGAAAATTTCTTTGAAAAATGAGGGTCTTTAAAAACTAAACATGGCCAAAATATATGGACTGGTTTGTGTTGTGCTGCCATCTAGTATACATAAAGAAGGTTCAGAGTAACCTATAGTAACCTATAAATCCTTTTTCATTCAATTTTTCTGTGCGTACAGAAGGAAATTTTTAGGTGTGTCGCAAAGGGTTAAAGCTCTTCTTATGCCTTTCAAAAGTTAATACTGTGTTTTTCCTAAACTTCAATAAAATATCCTTATATGGTAATGGACTCTGCATCAACGCTATTTTCTTTCAAGGCAACTGGTAAAGTTATGCAGCAAAATGTAACAACAGCAGTCATTTAAATGCAAAATGTAACAACCGTGACAACCGCGCCAATAACATGACTGACTTGTCGGTTAGTCTAGGTAAGTTTTGAAGAGTTCTCATGATAAAATGTTTCCATGTGTGCTGTGAATATCAACCAGTTTCCTTTAAAATACCTTCCCGAAAGTATTCCTAAACTAAGCAGATAAAGGTGCAAGTACAAGTGG